GCACGCGTAAAAACGCTCAGGTTGTTGCAATATTGATGAAAACAGGATCGAACAATGTTTTGCTGCATGCCCACATTCTTCACAGTTGTCAACAATATTGAACAATATTGTTACACCCGATTCAGGCTTAACAATGTTGAAAAGTGTGAACATCGTAGGCATGGCAAAACATTGTTCAATCCTGTTTAATAGCAGCCAGCGGGCTCGGCTTTTTTGCCGTGTGCAAGGAACAAAATTACAAGTAATCGTTACTTTTTTAAGTAACTAGACACGTTTTGAAAGCTTTTCTCAATTCCATTTAAGAATTTTCTCTATGAAAAATACTTTTCTTAATTTGCTAATTACTCATCTAATTTTCATCCAAATCGAACCAAAATTTATCGATTTGTTACTAGCAGGGCCGGGAAGCCTCGCACATCGATTTTGTCCATGAGAAACGTCATATGTTCGTTTCTCTGGAGACCCCCCCCCCCCCCCTCAGAAACGTCACACATAGTTATCCATATTTTGTTCAATATAGTTAACATATGGCAAGGTAATTTTCTACGGTCGGCTATTGGCGATGCTTCCGCGAGAAATATGTCATCTTCTGCTGACATATCTTTTTTTATTACTATATATGAACTTTCCAACGTTTCTCAAAACAATTAACTTTTTCTTGCATGAAATATTGATAATTTTAGCGCGTTTTTCTTGAAATTTGAGTGTTTTCAATGCAAGGAATGCGTATAATAATATTAATGTATACATAAAGAACAAGTATGGTATTACGAATGTATAGACTATGTTTGTATCAAGTTGCCATTTCAGTCTTTTTTATACTTGCAAAGATGATTCCGCAAAGTTAAGGCTTTCGAAAAAACTATCGAATTTTTCCATCAATGATGTTTACAGAGAAACGTCACAAGTGCACCCCCACCCCCACCCCCAAACGAACATATGACGTTTCTCATGGACAAAATCGATATGTGAGGCTTCCCCAGCCCCACAAAAATCCTTTGACGTTTGGTCAGCATCGGCGAGTAGGCATTGGCAATGATGCTAACCAACCTGTTGCCAGACATTTTAATACTGACAATCACAGTGTTTCTGATATGGACTAATTCGAGCCCTCTGTCTCATTTCTGGTATGGCAACGATAGCCGCGAAAGACACGAAATGCGCCTCATTTCCAAACTTGGCACTGTCCATCACTGTGACATTAATGAACGTTTTCCTTATTTTTTAACACTGTCTGTCTTTGCCTATCAAAAGCAGATATTGATAGCACTTTTAATTCTTACCTTATTTCATAAATTTTGTTGTATTTGTTGTAGTTTTCTGTATATTTGCAGGACCCCACTGAAAAACACTTCATTTTTTGTTTATACTGTATTTTGACTAAATTCATCTGGTTGGTTTATTTTTTGTCACGTAATACGTTTATATTCTTAGTATAAAAGCTCGTGTATTTTTCTGACCCCCGCTGGCACCTCCAGATGAAGGATTTCGGCGAACAATCCTTAATCCTTATATTTTTCAGGTAGTTCCATCCCTATACCACGGAAAGCTTGTTAATAAACACACACAATATAGCCTACATATACATAGTTTTACGTACCTACTGTAGGTGATTAGGTGGCAGACGTAAATAAATTTTTAAAGTATTTTTACTAAAGAAAAATTTTGAATTGGCGGCTGCCCCGTGAGTAAAGTAGGCCGTTATCAATTAAATATAACAATTTGTGCGTCCACCTATATAGGTAAAATCATGGATAATAAAATAAATGGATAGGAAACTAGCTGACGTGATCTGATGTTCTCAATGGGCTGATCAATGGGCTGATGGCGTGGTTGGATGTTGAAACCTTAGTAGTTGGAAACCAAATTCTCAAAAACGGCATGTTTAGCAATATCACAGCTAAACATTTTAGTCAAAGAGCAAA